ACCACAATGAGATATCACTTCACAAAAAAATATATAGGAAAGTATTCAGTGTAAATCAAAATTTCCCTACAAAATTATTGACACGTATCATAGTTCCCTCTGCTAACAGATGTCATTTTCTTTCACAAACTTTAAAACTGAATCAGTTTTATTTCAGAGCATAGTTTATAAATAATACTAAAGTATAAGTTTTGCATAGAGAAAGTGGTTTGTTTGTTGTGATTTTCGTGTAGAAGAACCTGAGTAATCAATTTTGAGTGCCAATTAGTTTTCAATTTCTGAGCAACCTCAATTTCCTGATGATAAAAATGTACGATACCCTCACCTTCTCCATTCACACCATCATTATTACCAGAATCCCTCATTTTCAAAACAAGGCATATACCTTGTATATATGCTAGTAGTGGACCATAGCATCTTGCTCATGTGAAAAATATTGTCCTTGCTGAAAGAATGATGGCAATGACCTGGTGGCTGGAAAATTATTATTTTTTACTGGACATAAGGTGAGAGCAAGAGAAAGTATGTAGTTAAAAAAAAAATTGAGAAACCAAAATTCTATTTTTGGTGTCGCTGCCACTGACTCATAGTGTTCACTTGAACCAGTCACCTATCCACACAAGTGGCATCGTTTATACACTAAAGTGAGGAAATGCTTGAGTATTAAGAGGACTGCTGAGATCACTTATATAAATATTTGTCTTCGAGTCCCTAGAAGACAGGAACTTTATAAATATTTAGTATTATTTTTGCACCTTAGGTAAAAGCAGGCAGGAATATGATATTCCAAAGCAGAAACAACCCATTTTAGACAACATTCATTCATACCAAGTAATTTTGCATTGATTTTCCACTGTCCATTGGCCTTTCTTTCTTTCTCCCCCTGCCCCTTTGCAGTTGATGACTGTGGAAATAGAAATAAACCTTAGCAGCAGAGGGTTTGGAGGTAAGGAAACTGTATGGGTGCAGTCACACTGGCTGATCGCAAGTTGTGTATCAGAATGGGTGAGGATTTAAAGTAAATAGTACATTTACAATTTCTGACTGAAAAGTGTAAGAAATGAATCATTATAAGAATGAGTAATTTGGTCAAATGTCCTGAACTTAAGACCTCAAAGAATCTCTAACTGTGCCTACTCCTTTTCTTTTTTGGGTACATATGGACAGAAGTTTTAAGAAAATGTGATTGTAACTGGCATGATTGGAATCACTCTGTTTATTTCAAGAGGAGCCTTACAAAATAAATTCACTTGTTTCCTTGCAAATTCTTGTCCAACAGGCTATTTCTTCAAAGCTTCAATGGAACTGAGCTCTGGAATGATGTTCCCGGAATGCATACAAGGGCTATTTTTGGATAGTGGAATTTCAGGTGATGTTTTCAGTTTACTTTCTTATTTATACTTTTCTGGCTTTTCAATTTAAACGAGGAGCATGTATCACTATTATAAAAACAATATTACAAACAAACTTGAACCCCTTACCACTAACTTCTTTCTCCTCCCCGCCTATACCTTCAGTTTGTAATAACAGATTTGTACTTTCTTCCTGGTTTCCTTACAAATTTAAGATAAGCATTTATATTGTAATTGATTCCCAAATCGAGAAACTGAGGCCTCTGCAGGAGAAGTGGGGAGTTGGCTCTGACCTAGGGAGTTCAGGTAGCTTGCAAAGCACATTTACGTAAAATTTTCTCTTGCCAGCAGTGACTGGGCTAATTCAAGCCAAAGCACAGCAGGTCTCTAGGGTATAAATTATGCTAATAATGTTTTGTTTGTTGAACTAATCTCAGAATGGTTATATTAGCTTTAATATTTCCTGAACACTTGGTGTTTAAGAGGCAATGTAAGTCATAGACACAAAAGACTTCACACTCTGTGATTTTACTTAATAAAATAATAAAAGCCATGTAGGATTTTCTCTTTTGTGTATTCAAGTGTGTATCTTCTCTTTTTTGCCTCAATAACAGTGTGCAGCAGAACATTCAGTCACACATGGGGTTGAGTTTCTCCCCACATTCCAACTGTGGAATTCCAATTCTTCTAGGAAGATCTGGACATGAACCTTTCTCTCTTCCTACGAGTATTTATTAAACACTTACTGCATGCGGGTCCACATTTTATGCAGTGGAGTTACAACAGGGAATCAGATGTGGTACCTGGGCTAAAGAGGCTTACTATCTATGGTGGAAAATAGACATATAGACACTGTGGGCACTGAAGTGTTGGTGGGCCATAACGAGGTCTATACAGAGCATTCCAGGGCACTACAGTGAAGGGATTGATGCCACCTGGCTGTTGAAGCGTGTGAAGGGAGAGCAGATAAAATGCTCCAGAGAGGGGAGAAAGGACAGACTGGGCACAGTGAGTGACCAGCAAAGTCACCGAGGTATAAACCGGCTCTCTATACAGGT